TAACTGTAGTTCCCACACCAGTTCATAAACTGAAACAATAGTTTTCCCAGCCAAACCCCCAAAGTCTTACGTAGTCCATATAAACAAGTCCACTTTGTTATGGGAACCATCTGCTTCAAATCCACACCTGTTCTGTTGTCCTTGACAACGCTTCAGGCTCCCATGGTCTGTAGCTGAATCGAAGAAGCTTCGTTTCTCCATCTACCTACTTGAAAGTAACACCTCCCACCCCCTTTATCTAAAGGCAAGTTGAAACACAGAGGCATGTAGCAGCCAAAGTTTTATACTTGACAATATCTCAGGATCCACTCAGGGCAGCTTCAGAGCAATAGCAAATCAAGAAATAACTTTGTGGAGAGGCTAATGTCAAACACGGGAAATCAGTGGTCCAGCCAATTCAGTTGAAGATATAGATATAATTGTATGCTAAAGCTCTCTATAAAAATCTGAATTAACTAATGGTCAAAGCAAATTGGTGGTAAATAAGAGTCAATGGAATCAAAGAACGGCTGGACTTAGATCTCTTGTGGGCACTAAAGCGCTCGAGACTTATGACATGCTTGACGCCTCCCTCAGGCTCAGCCTGGCCATCTCCTACAGTTACTCTCTCTCCCTCCCCAATCAGCCTGAAGTGCTCAGGATTGTATTTGTAAGTTACAATCTACAAACCTAGCTAATGAACGTGATGGGTATCCATGCTTGTTTCTTGAGAATGGTGAGTCTCTATTAAATCATACCATGGTTAGAACAGAACCTCTCCCTTTAGATGTCTTTGTCCTATTTTCCTGGGTGGCTTGACGCTTCCAAGATTTAAGAAAGTTTGATCAGCAAAGAACAGATATATGTTCTCGGGTTCCTTCCCTTAGAAGTGGGCAATGGAATGGAGCAATTAAAATAAAAGCAGGGAGGCTTGTACCATCCCCATCAGAGACAGATGCCACCGGTGTCCTATCTGGTCTCTTAAGGGCTGAGCTAACAGCCTTCTAACTTGCCCAGCAAAACCACAACCTCACTCAGATCTTGACTACACTGGTCCAGCGCTGGGGACTAACATCCAGTCAGGGACCGGGACATGAAATGTGAAACAAATGAGCTTGTAACCTGCTGAGGAACTTTCGCTGCTCTAAGTGCTCCTTGGAGACCGGGGCATCAAAACATCAAACCCAAGACTTTCATCTCCCTTCTGGAGACAGGATCCCAATTAAAGGAGAAGCAGGTGACAGGCTTCATCGCTAAGCGTTGCTTGGTAAAAGCACTCAGGAGCTCTTGATTCTCTGTTTTAGCAGAGCTGTCATTCCTTTCGCCTCCCCTTCCCCCCCACCCCAATCCCTGGGAATTGGCAATAAAAGAAAGATTTGATTCACCTCTAATAGGTGTCAAGATAAAAATCAATGCCGTGTCTGAAATCTGGGTAATTTCAAATGAAGCCATTTTTGTGGAACAGGAGGAGCAAAGGGAAGGAAGGAAGTTAAAAGGAGTAACCCACCACACAATGACAGTGTTGTGTCGCGAGTTAACCTGTAACGACTCCTGATCTGTCCACCGAGCAAGCCGGCCTTGGTGCCTTTAATACACACTTCGGCCTGTTGACTCAAGTGGATATTGAACCTACTAGCTTTTGAGTGCCTTTCAGCTAGTTAATGTTTTACATCAGAGAGCTTCGGTCTTTGACTGACGTTGCTTGTGAAGTTCACACTCACTTCCAAGCGTATTCCAGGTCTCTCTTTGTATGCTTCCAGTTACACATGTCCCAGAGGAATAGTAAGTGCTGAAGTATTGGAGGTTCTCAAAAATAGCCTGGAGAGCCTTTTGTCTGGGATAGTATCAGGGGGGCTGGACTAGAAGACCTCTGAGGTCTCTTCCAGGATTCTATGTTTGGCACATCTGGGAGAAAGGAGAGCGACAAGACCATTCTGAGCAGAACAAGGTTTGATTTAATGCAAAGCAGACCTGGATTCCCAACGAGAAAGGCTTAAAAAGCAGATGCTAGACAGGAAAGAAAGAGTACACACAATCACCCTGAGTTTTGTATGTGCGTGTGTGTTGTGTGTAGCTAGCTCATCCCCCTTCATTCTTTTCTTCGTGAAAAACAAGCATTCCTTCCGTTACACAAGCTTCTGAGAATAATAAAACCAGCACCCTGTTCTTACAAGGCCTACTGCTAGATGGGACCTTCGTAAATCTTTTAATTTAATACGGTAGGGGTAGATATAAAGAACCCCATAACACAACACTCTGGCTCCCAAGCTCCACACCATCCACCATCTGTATGAACGCAATCTGATGCTCTCCGTCAGCAGCTCCACAACGTTCATGTTCTTAAGATATATTTTGGCTACACTATATTTTGGCTACACTTCAAAGCAGGCATACACAACTTTCCGGTGCTATCAAGTCAACTAATGAGCGGTTTGCAAACAGCTCCACAAAACGGAGGTGCCCAGTCTTTGAGCCGTAGTAAGACGCTTCTTGAAGGGTACAGTTGCTCCAACGGAATTATGGAAATGGTCGTCTGTGGCCTCCTTCCAAATGAAGAGTTAAGAAGGTGGAGTCATAGCAGATGTGGACCAGGGTGGGGTTGTCCCTTAGTAACGTGATCATCGTGAGCGGTGAGCATCCAGTCTATCTCCCGTGGATGTGAACGGAGTTGCGTCTGCGCTTGAAGAACAGAATTCAAACTCCAGCTTGGCCACCCGATTCGCCACTTGACTGAGGACAAGTCATTTGTCTTCTCAGGCGGAGAACCCCACCTGCAAAATGGGAATAATTGTGACCTACCTTGTCGGCCTTGTGGAACTACGAATGAGTTATGCTCAGCAAAACACGGTGCACTTGACTTATGAGCATTCATCCTCTACTACAGAGCCAGATTTTGGAAATAAATCACCCCGAACAGAAATGGGAAATAATGTTTTCACGAAAGGAAGATATGGACTCACGGTTCCAGAAACCAAGCTCAGTGGTCCGCAGTCGATAGAAAAAAAGTTAGAGGAGTAAAACCTAGATGTTTCCACCACTTACAATGCCCCCAACATTTGGGAGACATTGTATTATCTGAGCTAGGAAAAAGAAAACAAGAGGGCGGGAGGAAGTAAGTAAGTAAGAGGAAAGGCTGAAAGGCATAATCAACAGCATGATATCCATCTTCACAAAAAGAGGTTTAACGGTTGAAGGGTTTCTTAGATCGGAAAACAAGACTTGGAGGTTTACAAAATTACACTTGACCAAGAAGAAATAGACACAGTCGCTCATCCAGAACAGACAAATCAGAGGATGTTCGCTTAACTCCAGCAGACCTAAGATAAAAGTCATGCTCGGAGCAGAGACGAGAGTCCCAGTGCGCAGATGGCTGCTGGGGCCACCAGTGCACAGGAGATGATCAAAGATCTGCTGGAAGACAAGACCAGACTCTCAGCAAAGACAAGCAATGACAAACCAGAACAGAAGCCCCTTCATGTGACAGCAGGCCACCTCTGAACCCTGACAGGCGATACTGCAGGCTGCATAAAAGGGTTATGGATATCAACCTCTGTTCCGTAAGTGTCTGGGAGGATTCCCATAAGAGGTCTAAGGAGGTATTCTTACAAGACATAAGTAGCAGCAGCAAGAAGGGGAGAAGATCAGGAGAAGACCTGGAATCACATTGGATCTCCCTGGAACCCTTTCTTTTCCCATTGCTGTCTTTTATCAGATTAGAAAAGAGTCACATGATGGCACGGAGTGATGCCAACTTAAGCCTCTGATGGTCCAGACTGGTTGGTATGGTGTAGATAGCAATAGCACTTAGACTTATATACCGCTTCATAGTGCTTTACAGCCCTCTCTAAGCGGTTTTACAGAGTCAGCCTCTTGCCCCCAACAATCTGCGTCCTCATTTTACCGACCTTGGAAGGATGGAAGGCTGAGTCAACCTGGAGCCGGTGAGATTCGAACCGTCAAACTGCAGGCAGCTGGCAGTCGGCAGCAGTAGCCTGCAGTACTACATTCTCACCACTGCACCACCATGGCTCACAGATGGAGATCCATTTGTTGTAAAAATATATGTTTTTCAATAAATTGAAGAAAACTGTTATGGTTGATCAGGGATCTCCAGACTTGGCCACTTTAAGGCTTGTGGACTTCAACTCCCAGAATTCCTCAGCCAGCACAAGTCTTCAAATTGCCACGTTTGGAAACCCCTGGAGTAGTTGAGTGCTAATGTCTAAGGTATGAAAGGTATAGGCACCTATATATTTTCAAGTCACCACCAGGAAAGATGTGATAACTTTGTTCAAGAATATTCTGGAATGCAGGAGGCATGTGGTTTCTGTGTTCCAAATTTAGGTTCACCCAACAGGCTTAACTTGGGTACGGCATCAACCCACATTCTGGGTTTGCACAGAACACAGAGTCATAAACTAATTAGTCTTGAGTTCATGTAACACATTATTCCTCCAAAACAAAAAAACTAACCAAGGTTGAAACTAACCAAACGTAGTCAATTTATGTGAATGCAGCCATTTGCTTTGTATCTGACTTACGACTTTGTATGTGACGTACAAAGTACGTTGTGTGATCATCCCCAGATAGATAGTTACAGCAAGCTTTCTTATAAGAAGCAACCCATATTTCCACTTTTTAAAACCTAAAGCAGAAACCAGCTCATCCCACAATTAAGGCTTGAGCCTGACAAAGGCAGATTCTGGGAGAAATTGTGGGATGCTGCTCCTGGCTGCATCCATGGAAGTCCTCAATCAATTCAACTCTATCTTAGGCCTTAGAAACAGGTTACGGACACAAGAGCATCCATTTATACAAACAACAGAAAATATTCAAAAATCTTTGGAACATTCGATTTCCTAAGAGATGCCCAGTGAACTCTGGTCATAAAAAACCAACAGCATGAGATAACACTCGGCTTCTTGAAATTAATCTCAGGAGGACCAAAAAAAGGGCATAAAACAGGAGCAGAACCTCTCATTCCATCTCGTCAAGCCAAATCACGTGCGCTAAGACATTACCCGAAGCGCGGCTTGTTCCAGCTGTGCTTCCAGAGATCTGTTCTGTTCTTCGAACCGTCTTCGTTCGGATTCCAGTTCCTCAATCTTTAACCTGGAAGAGAAAGAGTTTCATATTACCTTGATGGGTAATGTAAACTTTTTTTGCATCCTTGGGAATTTACATATTGTGTGTGTGTGGGGGGGGGGGGTTGGGAGCCAGGATGCTCGTTTTAACCCGCCAGGTTAGTCATTCAAGTGGGATTAAGTGTGCTTTACAGAAGCTGAGTGTGACCCTCAAGCTGGATCTTCCTGAAAACTCAAGTCGCCTGCGTCATGAGGTGGTGTACACAGCTGTGTCATATTGCAGAAATAATGTGCCTCCTCTGAACCTCAAGAGGGCTAATTAAGCTAATGAAGGTTTAATTATGAAAACACAGGAAAGGCCCTACGGGATGAAGCCGAAGTCCAATCTAATCTACATTTAATGGCACTTGCTTTACTTGGCTCCCAGATCCATCTGTGGGGAGCCACAGGTGATTCTCCGATGGTGCTTTTCTGAAGCTCTGAAGAACATCAAGAGGGAGAAACCAACAATCGAGCGAGGACCATGAAACGGGGCTCATAAACCAGGACAAGGACGTGGCTTTCTGATCAGCTCCTTAAAGCTGGATCTACAACAATTCGCCGCGGCCAACTCACCACGGCTGTTTTTTTCCATGGCAAGTTGGCCACAATGAGTTGGCCGTGGTGAGTTATCCCATTCCATTCAAAACCACCCATTTTCCAAACACATATTTTATTTATTTATTTATTTATTTTATTTAATTTATATGCCGCCCTTCTCCCGACAGGGACTCAGGGCGGCGCACAACATATTTAAAACCAGAACATATATACAATCCCCCCCTTAAAACCGAATTAAACCGAATTTTAATGTTGCGTCTTCCGAATATTTAAAACCCAATGTAAAATCCACCCTAGGTCAGGTCCG